AAAAAAAAAAAAAAAAAAAAAAAAGTATGGTGGCTGGAAATATAGCTCAGTAAGTGAATATAGCTCTGGATTAAATCCTCAGTATAGAATATATAAAAATTAAAAGAATAAAAACCTATTTGGAGGAGTCTGTGATGCCCTGCACTGTTGGTGACAGTTGCCTTTTTATGCCTTTTTAGGCTGAGGCTGAGGTGGAGCAGGAAGGATGGAATCCAAAAGCCTGGATTTCTGGCCTCAATGTTTCCAGCTGACAAGCTTCCAGGTGAGTAGGCCTTCTAGGTTTAGACTTGGTGATGTATGCTAACATTTTGAAGATTGTCTGCTTTAAAAGCTAGATGTTGTCATAATTTTATGAATGTTGGCAATCTCATTGGATTTCCTCATTCTTATGTCTAGACTAAGGGCCTGGACCTTTCATTTTTTAGTCTTTTGGCTCAGAATTGGGTCTAATCCTTCTCTTTGGGGTACTGGGGATTTTAGATAGGCTATCTTATCATTTTCAGGGCATTATGACTCAGAGCTGAGCCAGGTGTAGTGGCACACACCTGTAGCCCAGCACTTAGGAGGCTGAGGCAAGAGAATTACTGTGAGTTGGAGACCAGCTTGGGCTACATAGTGAGTTCAAAGCCAGCCTGAAATAGTGAGACCTTGCTAAAAAAAAAAAAAAAAAAAAAAAAAGAAGACAGCTGAGTATCTATCCATTTTCTTGAGTTGTCTTAGATCAGTGCTTGTTCTGCCTTCTCTCCTTTCTCCTTTTGGCATAGAACCCAGGGACTTGTATGCTAGGCAAGTGCTCTACCACTTAGCTAAATCCACAGCTCTTTTTGAGACATGGTCTTGCTTAAATTGCTTGTGCGAGTCTTGAACTTGTGATCCTCCTCTCTCGCCTCTTGAGTAGCTGGAATTACAGGCGTACACCACTGTGCCTGGCTCTAACCTTGTACTTGATATGCCTAGGCCAAGAGTTACATCTGCTTCATTATCTTGAAGATGTTGGGGCTCCCTCAAAGTTGGGCTTTTCTATCCCTTCTCAAAATGTTGGGCTCAGAACTGGGTCCTACCCTTCATTCTCAGGATGTGTGTATCAAGAACTAATCCTGTCTCATGATTTGCGTTTGCTCTCCTAGGTATTCCAGACTTGTAGAAGACCCACAAGAGCTTCAGCTCACTCCAGCTGTAACTCTGTCTTGCTGGTGTGGATGGATGGACAGAACCAGGCAAGGGAGTAGATCCCTGTGGAAGGGGGTTTCAGCTGGAAGTTCTATTTGGAGCCCATTTCTTTGAGACTCTGTATTTTAAACTTGCCAGCTGAAAAGTGTTTGGACCTCTGACTTCATCCCAGAGCTGAAGTCTACCTGAAGGATGTTTTTAGATGTGTATGTCTGTGTCCATGTGTGACCATGTGTGTGTGAGGTATGGGACATGTGCTCTTTGCACATATATATGTATGTAAGTGCCTGGAGAATATGTATGGGTCCTTGGCTCTTGGCCTTGCCCCTTGCAGGTGCTGTGAAGATGCAAAATAAAGAGAACAAGGAAGTTCTTGGAGATCATACTCAGATTATTATTCAGTGATGCTTTATTATTTTGGGTGTTGGTCACTCCAGACTATTTCCCCTTGAAGCTCCAGATTCAGGTTTGGCAGAGTCCCCTGGAGCCTTTTCCCTTGGCGTTCAAACCACCGAGCCAGACTGCGATTCTGGGGATGGATGCAGACACTGCGTCGAGCCAGGTGAAGCCTGGGAAGGGAAAGGTCCAAAGCTATGCCCATACCTTGGAGTTGGGATTAAGGTCTGGGGGTTAGGGACAACAGCCAAATGAAACTTGGAGCCAGTATCAGAATTAGAAGCTGGGGCTGGGGTTGGGATCAAATTTGACTGAGGTCAAATTTAGGTATCAAGAGTGGGGTCAGAGCTCACACAAAAGCCTGGAGGTGACAGTCCCCATCAGCTTCCTGCAGTTCCACCCAGATGACCTTCCTCAGTATCTTGCTTGGGAGTGGCTGTCTGTAGAGCTGAGTACAACAGGTAGTGCTGGGTGGCAGTAGCAATGCTATGGGACAATGGGGTCATGTGTTCAGAAGAGTCCAGCCCAGAATTGCTCCATCAGATAGCTGAAAGCTTGGCCTTCCTGAGCCCTTTTCTCTTCATCTGATTAATCTCCAGCCTTTTTTTTTTTTTTTTTTTTTTTCGCCAGTGTTTTACTATGCATTTCAGGCTGGCCTTGATCTTACTATGTAGCCCAGGCTATGGTCTCTCAGGCTTTTGGCTAAGATCAAGTGTAGCTCAGGCTGGCCTCAAACTTATAGTGATCCTCCTGCCTTGACCTCTTAAGTGCTAGGATTACAGGCATGCACCACAACACCTGGAAAGACCCCTAGCCTTCTTTTTCTGTTTTGTTTTAGTTGAGACAGTGTCTCACTATGCAGTTCAGGCTGGCCTTGAACTCACTATGTAGCCCAAGCTGGCCTCAAACTCATGGGTGAGCCTCCTGACCTAGCCGCCCAAGTGCTGGGATTACACTCTTGCACCACAATGCCTGGCAAGACCTCCAGCCTTCTATTCCCTCAGGTACTTACCTGCTCTGGGGTCTAGGCTCAGGAGTAACAGCAGTAGCATGAAGATGCTGGTGGGTGAGAAGAGTTTCTTCATGTTCCTCAACTGAGATACTTGCTTCTCTCTGCTCCTTCTCCTTTACCTTTTATCTGTGTGCATTTTTCCTGGGGCATTAGGTGAGTCAGAGGCAGGTGGAGATGTACTGCTTATCTTGTGACATTCCTAACTCTAATTCCTGGATTGTTGCCATGGACCCCTTCCTCTTCTAGGACTATTATTTCTGATGGACTCTTGAGCCCTCATCAGAGAAGCAGGGGAGAGGGTGTACATGATGTGGGGGCTGATGATACGGTGACTAACAACAGCTAGGGATCCACAATAACATCTAATAATAGACATTCAAATTCACATTCCCATAGCCACACAGTCATATGAATAACAGTCACACCCATGATTGTACCTTCATAGACAAAAATCATATAGTTCTGGTTACATTCAAAATCCCACTCCCACACAGTTGTTTCCACAACCATCCAATCACATATTCATATTAGCATACGAATTTTCATACAGGAGTTGCAGATGGAGTAGAAACAGAAGATGGGCCAGGACTAATTTGCCTTCCTGCCCTGGCCTGCTTGTCCTATCAAAAGAAATAGTTGGGAATGGATCCCTCTTCCAGCTAAGGAGAGGTCTTGGCTGGGGCCAGCTACATTCCAAGCAGCTGGAAGAAGGTGACTTCATTGGTTTTGTGGGCCCGCTGAAGATGGTGAGGAAGATGAGACCAGAAAAGGTAAGGTGAGTGAAAGGAGATAAAAGCTCTTTGGTGCCAGATTGCTGATGTCAAATGTGGTGGAAGGCACACAAAAAATCTAACCTTCCTGTTTTTGCCTAGTTCTGTTCCAGGAGTGGGAGTTTGTTAGCAGGGGTCTGGGGTTTCCAGACTCAATCCCTGCCTTATAGAGACATCAGATTCAAGAGTAAATTGCGTATGTTTTGTTTTACTCAAATTCCAGCCTCTTTCCACTGTGGGACTAAAAGAACACCCCCACCTCCATTTCAGTAATACCCATTTATAGCCCCCACCTTTTCTGCATCCCATTCTCCAGCTGTAGCCCTTACTGCATCTCCTTCCTATTCTAATCTCATATCTGGGCTTCCTCCCTTCTTCCCTGTATCAAGATGCAACATTCATACCCCTCCTGATGCAGTTGTTTCTGGAATACTAGAAACTGCTTAGGATGGGAGAGTCAGTTTCTGTGTCAGTGGCCCTGGCTCCTTGAAGAATGTACCATTCCTAGCTAGGGATTTTAACCTTCAAGTCCTGCTCTGTATTTGAAACAAACAGAGTCATACATCAATAATTCAGGCTTTTTCTGGATGTTGCAGGGTTTCTTCAGTCTTCTGCTCTGGGGCCAGTCACTCTATGGTGTAAGCTTTCATTCATACCTCCCCTGATGCTGCCTGCCTCGCACGTGCAAGGTCCCGAGTTTGATCCCCATACCAACAAAACAAAACAAAACAAACCCTACATACCTTCTCTGGGTGGCATTTTCTGCTACAGGGCTGCCTTAACATTTAGGAGGGGCTTAGGCTCCCACAGAACGAACTAGCCACCCTCCAGGCTGAAAACTGGAGCCTCTCCTCCTCCTGTCTAGGTGAAGCCTGAAAGACCCTCTCTAGAATTTGTCCCAGGGATCTTCAAGTCTTCTGACAGCATCCTGGTGAGCTGTGGGCCGAGGGCTAGATACAACATTTTACATTGGTAGAATTATGAGGAAATGGTTAAAGAGCCTGGGGATTTTCTTGAAAGTGAACAGAGTCACTCATCCAGAATTTTTGGTACCAGAGGTTTTAGGAGAGGGCTCCCACACCCAATTTGGACATGTCCTCCAGAGCTTGGGTGTGGCTACTGAGAATATTCCAAGGAGATCTCCTAGGACCCATCATCTTGTCATATACCTTGTCCATCAGCTGGTTGCTTGCCACATACTTTGTGGTCTTTCCTGGACTGCTCAGTTCAGAGACCTTTGGAAGGCAGAAAACAAATCTCTCCCCTTTAGCTTCTCCAAAAATAAGGCCAAGTCCTCCCCAGCCACAATCTGCTGTGGCAGGAGCAGCCCCAGGCTGAAAGTCAGCATTGGCTCCAGCTAGAAACTGGGCTGTCTCTGTGACTTAATTCCCTGAGCCAGCCCCTAACTGAAAGCAGGCACACAGCAGTTCTGGACTCTTGTCATTTTAGGGTTAGTGGGTCCCAGGTTGATTAGCTCACATGACAGAAAGGGCTGGCAGGGAGAAATACTTCTAGAAAGGTAGCAAAAACTTCAAGGTTGGCTGATGGCAAGTATTTCTAAAATTGGGATCAGACTGGAGGAAGCATCTGGGGATATTAAACTGTAGGAAAGGCCCCAACCCATGTTGCTCTTCAGAGACTGCATACAGTATGTAGGTTCTAGGAATCTTTCTCTTCTCAATGACAGTCGACACCCTACAAACCTGATTTAAAATGTTTTAGATTCCACGCCTGTAATCCCAGCACTTAGAAGGCTGAGGCAGGAGGATCACTGTGAGTTCGAGACCAGCCTGGGCTACATAGTGAGTTCCAGGTCAGTCTCAACTACATAGTGAAACCCTATCTCAAAAAACAAACAAACAACCCCCCTCCAAATTTAGATTCACTCTGAGGAAGGGAAGATTCTTCAGATACCTGGCAAAGTCTTGGCTAGGAAGAAGGTGGTGAAGGACAGCCGGGGTTGGAGACCATAGCAATGTGGGGATAAAGTATGTAAGGAGATTAGACCAGAATCATTTGCTTGTCCCTGTATAGGTTACTAACAACGATTGGAGTTTTTGAAGGACAAAGGGCAGGGAGGCAGTCACAGGAAGCCTGACATTGATGAGGAGCCCTTAGAAATGACAGGATCCTTGACCTGGAAGGGCACCCTATCAAGCAGAGGCCCTTTGAGTAAGGAAGCAGCAGGTGTGAAGAGGGGCTAAGTCAAATGGCGGCAGAGGCGGCAGTCAGGAAGCCAGTACTGTGAGCTTCGCTTTAAATTTTTAATGCACCAGCTGGCTGGACAGCAGTAGCGGGAGTGCGGCAGAGAAGGCCACGACCTGAGCGCTGGGGAGCAGGGCCCAGGCCGCTGGACAGACAGCTCATCAGACCCCGCAGGGGCTCCAGCTTCTGCTCCCGGGGGTGTGCCGAGCTGTAGGGCGACCGGGCACTGGCATGAGGCACGAAGGGGGCGCCCAGAGTCCCCCGATCCGTCTTGCAAAACTGAGCCTCCTCCATGCCCCGATCCGGCCCGCGGGTCGCAGTCTCCTCACCTCCTCTCCCTGCGCCACATTCGCAACCAGGGGAAAAAGTAGAAACAGCCCCAGTAGATCCTGCAAAAGAGAAGGGCAGAGCCGGACGGGCCGGCGGGCGGGGCGGGACTGACCCCACAGACCCCGCCCC